CCCCAGTACAGGGTGGGCTAGGGGCACTGGTGTCCCCTGTATCAGCTGGGCTAAGGTCACCAGTGTCCCCAGTACAGGCTGGGCTAGGGTCACTGGTGTCCCCTGTATCAGCTGGGCTAAGGTCACCAGTGTCCCCAGTACAGGCTGGGCTAGGGTCACTGGTGTCCCCTGTATCAGCTGGGCTAAGGTCACCAGTGTCCCCAGTATAGGCTTTCCTATGGTCACCAGTATCCCCAGTACAGGCTGGGCTAGGGTCACCAGTATTCCCAGTACAGACTGGGCTAGGGTCACTGGTGTCCCTTGCATGGGCTGGGCTGGGGTCACTGGTGTCCCCAGTATAGGCTGTCCCATGGTGACCAGTATCCCCAGTATAGGCTGGGCTATGAGCTGTCCCAGTGTCCCCAGTATAGGCTGTCCCATGGTCACCAGTATCCCCAGTAGAGGCTGTCCCATGGTCACCAGTGTCCCCAGTCTTGGCTGACCCTGTGCCCCTCATACAGGCTCTCCCAGAGTCCCCAGTTCAGGCGCTCCCAGTGCCACCAGTGCTCCCAGTCCACCCTGTCCCGTAGCAACCAGTATCCCACCTCCAGACTGTCCCAGTGGCCCAGGTGGCCCCAGTCCAGGCTGCCCCATGACCACCAGTGTTCCCAGTCCAGCCTGCCCCATGGCCCCCAGTGCTCCCAGTTCAGGCTGTCACATGGCTCCCAGTGCTCCCAGTCCAGGCTGTCTCATGCTCCCCAGTGTCCCCAGAAGCAGTTGCAGCCTGGCCCCCAGTTTGTCCTGGTTAGTCCCCATCACCCCACTCCAGTCTGGCCCAGTCTGGCCCAGTCTGGCCCCACACCCTCCCAGGGGCACCCGGGGAGGGGACAGGGGGTCCCCGAGGCCCTCGGGGACAAGGACGGGGTCACCCAGTTCCAGAGCAGGGGTTTGGTGCCACCCCCCCCAAAGCCACCCCAAAACCACGAGGTGCCTCTGTCCCCATGTCCCTGTGTCCCCATGTCCCCATGGTGTCCCCATGGTGTCCCCATGGTGTCCCCATGTCCCTGTGTC